CGGTACGTCTCCCTCACTGCCTCCTCCCAAGCTCCCACCCATAAACCGTATTCTGAATCGCCTCCCAGCTCATGGTATGGGTCGTCACACCATGCGCCTGCGCCTCCTGCAACACAACCGTCGGCGCGCCGCTCCCCTTCCCCGGATTCTCCACCAACCCGCCCACCACCATCCTCGCCACGCGGCGGAGGTCATCGACCGTAAGGTCCTCGATACGGCGACACATCTCCCTCACCGGGACCTTCCGCCCATGGACCTGTACCTGGCGGCCCAGATCCTCGAGCTCCACCATGCGGCTCTCCAGGTTCATGAGCAAGCTGGAGCGGAGCTGGTTCTTCGCGCGCTGGACCTCGACGGGCTTGAGGGCCGAGTAGCCGGTGTCGAGGGTGAGGGAGCGCAGCTCGCGGCACATGACGTCCAGCATGGGCGCGGTGCGGCCGGGGAGGCAGGAGGCCGAGATGCCGAAGAGGCCCGAGTCGGTGTAGGAGTGGTTGAAGGCCACGCAGCTCTCGACCCAGCCGTGCTGGTTCAGCACGTTGGTGTAGAGGCGGCTGTACATGCCCTTGCCCGGCCCGCCGGCGGAGAAGGAGCCCCCGCCGCCGAGGAGGGTTTGGAGCGTCGCGAGGGCGTAGATGTCGTCGGACGAGATGGGGAGGCCTTCGAAGGCGAGGTGGATGTGCGAGAAGGTCGGCATCGTCGGGCTCAGGGAGGGGGGCTGCGGCGGGAGGGACATGAAGCCGCCGGTGTAGTGGGAGGGTTGGAAGATGTCCGAGGAGGAGGAGGTGGGACCGGAGGAGGATGGTGACGACGATACGGAAGCGCTGGCGGATGCGGAGGTGGAGAGGTTCTTGAAGAAGGGGACTTTGGAGAGGAGGCCGGACGACGTCGACGAGGAGGAGGACGACGATGCTGAGGAGATGGAAGAAGGGGAGGACGGCGCCGACCATGTGGAACCACCGTTGCTGCTGCTACCAGAGCCCAGAGACGACGTCTCCGAACCAGTCCTCGCAAAAGCCGAAACGGGCTTCTCACTCGCCTTCATATCCCCGAAATGCAGGTCCGCCAACCGCACCGCCTCGGCATGGTCCACGCCCGCAAAGGCAAGCACGATGCGCTCAGGCCGGTAAAAGGCCTCCCGGTACGCGCGGATCGTGGACCCATCGATGACACGCAGCCGCTCCTCGGGACACAGCAGCGGGTTCCCCAGGGTATTCCCCTTGAAAGCAGCCATGTGGACCAGCTCCGGCAAGATGAGGTCCGGCTTGCTCCAAATCTCCGAGACCTCGTACGCGGCCGTGCCGAGCTGCTGCTCGACCTCCTCGTCCGTCAGGAGCGGGTCGCGGATGGTCTCGGCCAGCAGCCCGACCGTGGTGGGCACCGACGCGTTGAAGGTGGCGGCCTGGTACATCATGGCCTCGCGGGACGACGCGCACTGGATGTTCCCGCCCAGGGCCTCGACCTGCTCCAGCATGTCGTCGGCCGACCGCCGCGTCGTCGACTTGAAGGCGAGCCGGTCCATGATGTGGCTCACCCCGCGGAGGGATTCGCTCTCGTACCGCGAGCCGGCGTCGATATAGACCCCCACGCCCGAGAAGGAACCCGGGAGGGCTTCGGAGGCGACGCGCAGCCCGTTGGGGAGCGTCGTGATGTGGTCGAGTTCGGTGGGCTCTTTGGGGATGGCGTCGACGATGGTGGCGTGTGTTCTCCGGCTTGTCTTCGCCGCGGTTGTTACCGATGGGGAGACGAGACGGTGGCGGCTGGGGAGGGAGAGTTGGAGGCCGCGGGTTGCGGAGAGGTGGGATCGGGTTCGGGAGACGACGCCCGTGGGCAGCCGCGAGGCTATAGATCGCAGCATGGCTGGGTCGACGTAGCGCGCATTTGCTAGCCGGGAGAGATTGGGAGGTTGTGGGATGCTAATCGTACACAAGAACGTAGGGAAGGTAGTACGTCTCGTGTTGGGGCTGAGAGGGAGTGGACGGAGAGATGGTTGAAGCTGGATGAATAGATGGGAGATAATGGTGATGTCTTTGGTCAACGCCGATGAACGACGAAAAATTATGGAACGCCACAGGAGGCGTCAACATGGGGCTTATCGGCTTATCGACTTCGGTTTATCGGTGAAACGTCGGATCAACAAAATACCGCCGAGGCTAAAACGGTCCCCTACACATAACATTAACCTCGTGGCGACATTTGCTTTTATAGGTACCTGTCCATATAACATAGGTGGCAAGGTACGGACCGACAGTATAAATCCAACAAGCGATCAAGACGTGGGGCAAAGTCTCGAGCCAACGTCCCTCCTGACCTCTACCAGGTACATAGGTAGGTGTACAATGTTAAGGTAAGGTACGGAGTATGGGGTACAATCACGCTCACTACCTATCACAGGGGGACTGAATGGACATGCTCCATACAGCTAAAAGAGATCAAGCACCGAAGAATAGTCAACCCAACGTATAAACAAGGAAAATATACTATATAATTCAATGAGAAACAGTCTTCAAAGCTCCCAGTACCTCAAAACCTGTCCAAACCCGTCATCCTCGCCCAGAGCACCCCGCCACTTTTCCACGAATTCAACCCCCCTGATGCTGCAGGTCATTTGCTTGTCCGTTGTCGTGGATCTCCCCAGATACTTCATATTTATATACGCATGTATGAAACCATCATCCCTCTCCCTCGTGCTAAAAAAAATCCAAGACCCGTATTCCGCTGGCTATGCGATTGTGCATGGAAAGAATAGCATTTCTAAGCCGCCTCTTGCAAACAAATGAAAAAACGAGAACAGAGAACACCGAGCACGACAACAACACACAAGGTGCAATCAGCGTTCGGACTCCCCCTCCGCGGCTTCATCGAGACTCCGCATCCCAGTCCCTTCCGACGCCGAGCCGGCTCGGCTGCCCGCCGCGCTCCCGTCAAAGACCCAAGGCCCCGCATCGTTCCGCGGCGTGATGGGTCCTTCCACCCCGCCATTCTGCGTCGGCGGCGACGGCGTCCGGCCCCTCGTCGAACTGTTCGACCGTGACCTGTGCCGGGGCAGCATGGAGAGCGGCCGGATGGCCAGCGGCTGCGACACCGAGTGCGGGATGAGCGTCATGTGGGCTAATCGTGCGGCGCTCGACTGCCGGCGCACTTCCCTCGCCGCGTCGCTGTCGTCTCGGCTACTCCTCGACCCGCTACTGTCTCGTGTCCTGGGAAGAGGCTGCGTGGGAGCTGGCGGGGCTGGCGGGGCTGGCGGGGCTAACGGCGCTGTTGGAACGGGCGGAGCCGGCGGGGGATTGTCAACTTGAGGGGTCGAGTCGGCGTTATCCTCGGCCTTTACCGGCTCGTCCATGTCGACCTGGTCCCAGTCTTCTTCCGGATCTTCGATATCAGCCTCCAAGTCTGCCGCCATACGGCAGTTGGGGCACACGAAGATGGGGTACTGGGGATTGTTCAGAAGCGACCGAATACACTTGTAATGCCAGGTGTGGGAGCATGGGGCCACAAAAAGAGACTGGCAGGGCTGTAGGGAATGCGTCAGCAGGTGAACGAGCATAGTACACGATGTCCAAGGGGGGCCGCCGGGGCAAAAAAAAAAGGGGGGGGAGGATCCAGTACGCACCGCAATCGAGTTGAGGCAAATGGAACAATCTTGCGAGGAACTATTCGCCGAGTCGCCGCCAGCGGACGCCATGATCCGCAATCTTTTGTGAGTCGTAACGCTAAAGGAGGAGTTAGCACCGGCTGCTCCGAGCGCGATTGCCGAGTAACGACAGAAAAAAAAGGAGAAAAACAAAAGGATGTTCCATACTTAAAAGCGTTGGGCTTGTTCTGCCAGCCACGGTTCAACTCAAGCCTCATCTTGACGCAACGGAAAATCATCTCCTCGCCGCCCTTGAAATCGATGCCCAGTTGCACAATATCGCCGTCGTTCACCGGAAACGGCTTCGACTCGGTGCCGGGCGGGCTGAGGCGGATATGGTTGAGGAACGTGCCGGACGAGCTCTTGACGTCCTTGATGTACCATTTCCCTCCTTCGTACCAGAACTCGCAGTGCCGACGACTGACGACCTTGCTCTTGAAGCCCACGGGGGACGACGACGGCACGTTGCTCGGCACGTTCGGTTGGGCGTCGCGCTCGGAATACCGGCCCACGCGGATCTGCTCGGTACCGGTCGGTAGGGTTCTCGCGATGGGACTGAACGAGAGGCTAGGGCGGGTGGCACGTGGATCGAAATACGCCGAGAAGCGGATGGAAGGCAAAGGTTCGGAGGGGGAGGTGCTGCTGCCGGCGGCACCGGTAGGGGCGGCCTGGGGTGGCGTCGTCTCCGGCGGCGACCCCGTCTCCGGCAACCCCGTCCCGTTCATGGTGTTTCCAGCCGGCACGCCGGGAGAGTAAGCGGGCGGTTCGTCGAGAATGGTATCGAGTCGTGGGCCGACCGCACCGGGAGATGATGAGAAGGGCGCCGAGAAGTAGTTGTCCGCCGCGGTATGGGCGGCGGACGACTCGACTTCAGCACCGGGGAACGGGGGAGGCGAGGTGGGCGAGTGGCCGAAAGAGTGAACGATCGAGTCGGACCGGGAAGCAGACGCCTGCTGGGACGAAGGTGCAGGAACGGATGACGACTGGCCGTGGTTGTTGGTACTGGTATTGGTATGATGCGAGTTATGTTCTCTCGAAAGCAGGTGGTTGTGGGTATAATTCCTCAGATAGCTGAGTCCACGGAGCCTCCTGGATGTCGTAGACGATGTATTGTTGGCGGTCAAAGGCGCGCCTGGACCCACGGGGGGCGGAGAGGAGACAGGTTGGGTAAACATTATACAAGTTTGGTAGGTTCGGCGCCAGAGGTTTTAGGTCGGGGCAGGGAGAAGGGGGCTGCCCGAGGCGTCGGAATGCGTCGTTCTCTCGGAGTGTCGCGTGTCCTCTTTTTTTTTTTTTTTTTCGTTCTTCTTCTTTTCTTCTTCGAGTGTCCGATGTTGTTTATAGGAGGGCGTCCGAGAATCAAAGGGGCGCGGTCGGGGCAGGGCGTGAGGAACGAGCCTCTGACGGAGAGGCGAGAGAAAGGGTCGGGCACGGTCGCGAGGAGTCAAGGGGAAGATAAGGATACTGACGAACAAAGTAGGAATGCGAAAGAAGAAGAAAGAGGGGGAGACGAGTCGATCTTCGAAAATCGGAGTTGTTAAGGCACAGGGTCATCTAGGGTTGGAGGAGGGGAAGAGTGTAAAAGGAGGAAGACGAAGACGAAGTTGTGAAGTGACCGGACCAGACCCACACTGGATGGACCAGGACGAGACTTGGGCCGTGGGTTTCTTTTTGGATTTTGGATGCGCTTAGAGAGTGGAGTCGATCAGGCGACCAGTACACGATACTTCGTACCAGGCTAGGCTGACTGCAGTTGCAGGGGTCGTGGTTGCAGGGATTTTGGCGACCAACTTGGGACGGCGGTCGCGACCTGTTGTGAAGTCTGTCAAGCAACTGGGCTTCCAGTTTTTGTCAGCGAGTCCAACTGTCTAACGGTATACTCCGTACCCTGTACAGTACCGCTAATACCCCTTGGGTCCGTACTCTGTAAGGTACCTTAGGTACTGTACGTGTACGGACTGTGCGGATATCTGTACGAGGTACCCGTATCAATACGGAGTACCATAAAACGTATGCACAAGTGAGAAGTCAAAATGATAATGACAGCTCGACTTGAAAGGGGAAGAAAAAGAAAAAGAAAGGAAACCCCCTAAGGCTGCTTTTTGTCTCCCCCCCTAATTGCTATCATTTGAGCTACCCAAACATGTATCCGTCATAGTATGTACAGGTATGGATCCAGTGGGGAAAAATGCCAATGGGCGTTGGTCTTGATGAGAGGGATCCTACCTACCTCGTTGTAAAGCGATCAAAATGCCACCAGAGTACAGCACTTTATGGGCGTCGAGTCGCACCCAAGACGACTGGTGCGATGGAAGGGTATGACCGAGGATTGAAAGATCGTAGGTGGGTCTGAGGTGCGGTGGGAAACGGAAGGAGGCGATGGGAGGGGAGTCGAGGCGAGGCGAGCGTGAGACGGAATAGGAAGATGGGAGATGAAAGATACAGGGGAAATGCGAAGTTGCAGTCCGCGTAATTGGAGAACTCTTCGTTGAAAGAGGAGAATAGAACAAGAAAAAGAAGACACTAAACAGACCGTGGCACGAGTAAAGGAAACCCCCCGAGTTGTTGGATATTGGCGAATCTGTCTAGCATATCGGGACCGATCCGTAGAGTTAATACCTGCATTAATTACTGTCAGATGCCTATAGCCACCTTATCGGGGTGTGACTTACGCTATTCCTGTAGACGGATGGGGTACTTCCGACCGATGTATCCATATTAATTTCCCCTCCTTTTACTTTATAGTTAGATATTTCCGCAGAGTATCTTTTACTCTTCTTTAATGCATGTATATATCTTTTACGTACCTTATTTGTGTGCTAATAGTTATAAGCCCGGCGTTCTAATAAATAAAGCTATTCCGATAGATCCTGCAGCTTTAAGGCAGTCAAAATAGCCTTGAGTCTATAGTGGTTAGCTTAGTATTATTAGCTATGTCCGCCTGCTTTATTTTAACCGTTATTCCGTTAATTAAAAATCGCTTAATCCCCTTATATTTAAATCGCTTAACTCGCTTAACTCGCTTAAGTCCTATATCGTTCTATCGCTCCTTATTTAATCGATTATTATAGTCGGTTTCGATAGTTTATTTCCCTATAATCCTAGTTAGCCAGACGATAGCCTTAACTGCGATGTTACCCACGATAGGCTATACGATCCTTACCTCACTAAAAGAATAGCGTCGTTAGATCGAGGCTATTATATAGATAGCCTACGCTAACCAGGTCTCTAACCTTATTAATCCAGACCTTAAGGAATCTAAACGTCCTTCAAAGCTTAAATCCTCGGAACCTCTAGAGCTAGAAGAAGGTGACGAAGATAATACCTAGGATCGTAAGTTTAAGCTATAGAACGTAAAAGAGAATAAATATTAGTAATAGCAACGTGGTCTAGCTACTCTTCACGACTATATCGCGAAGATAGTTAATCCTAACCTTAAAGATTAGTACGCGGGGAAGAAGGAGGTTAAAGATATCCTGATCGCCTTAAAGGACTATCTTAAACCTACTAACGCTACCTAGAAGTCCCTAGTTAAGAAGAGATAGGAAGAATATATATACAATATACGGAGGATACCCTATAAGCGTTAGCTTTAGGACTTTATATCGCTATACCGAGATTCGAAGACCTATAGTGTTAGATCTTCTAATACTATAGAGGATTAACTTAACGTGTTTTTTAGGGCTATCGGTACTATAGATCTAGAGTGGTTAGAGGCGCGTTTTATAGAGATTTTAAGGGAAGATAAGGAAGATAAACCTACTGTCGAAGAGGTTATAAACGAATATACGGTTTAGTTACGCTATAGGTATCCCTATAGGCTTAATAAGAAGCCTATAGCGTTATCGTTCTATATAGCGATATTCCTAGGAAAGGATGAAAATAGTAGATAGTAGCCTGTTAATTAGGAAGGTAGAGAAAAGAGGATTCTTCGGTAAGGGAATTTATCTACGATTACGTTAAGATAGGAAGAGCTAAACGCTACTACTATCCGTGGAGTAGCTGCCCGAATATTAATCCGACGCGCCGCTAAAAGGGCTTTACGCCCTTGAAGGAGGTAGTGGAACGCTACGACCGCGTTATTAAGAGCTAGAGTGCTTCTAAGTAAAAGAAGTTTAGGGAGTATATTAAAAAGGATATCGATAAGGCTAAAAATAAGGCAAAAGAGTCTAAAGCTAAGTTATTAGAAAAAGATTAGTCTAAGGAAGTATCTAATTTCGTTAATAATAAGGAAGAGGATTCTAACGATAGCTTTTACGATATATATTTTACCTTTAATTTCGTGGGAAAAGAGGTGGTATTATCGACCTCGCCGTCGGTTTTCTCGCTCCTATAGACTAAACAGGTGGTTAGTAATAACCTGTTTAATTAGTTATTAATCGATTCGGGGTCTTTAAGGTATATAACTAATTAACGCTACCTGCTTAAGGACTTCTAGCCTGCTGCTATTATCGTTAGATTTTAGATAGGTGGCGGCACCTCTAATCTAATAGAGGGGTACGGCACCCTGTGTCTTTAGGTTAAAGATATAAAAGGACGTCCTTATACCCTTATGCTAAAGAGCGTGGCGTTTATGAATGGATATCCTATAACGCTATTAGCGACGCGTAGGTTATAGAAGGATCAGAACGCTATTTTTATGACCGGCAGAGATATTTTAGTAATAGACCGATGTACCTGCCTACCGTTAATTAACGTTAACGGCTAATATGCCCTTAAACCGACCGAGGGCACGCTATAACGCTTATAGCAGCAGAGCTATTTTAACAGCTTAAGGGAACTAAAGTCTATAAGTGTGGCCGACGCCCGTTTATAGCACGAGAGGCTAGGGCACGCTAACCCTTAAGCACTGGTATAGCTGTTAAAAGGGTGCGTGGGAGGTATCGTGGCTTTAAAAGGAAGAGCGGTATCTTTAGTGGTGGACTGCGAGGCTTACGCTATTAGTAAGGTAAAAAAGATAGTATCGTAACGTCTACCTATCTATAGGCTAATAAGGCCTTTTTAGAGGATTAACGTGGATCTGTTTTCGATGGATCCTGCCGCTAACGGCGACGATACTATTACCCTATTCTATAATCCCTGTACATATAAAAACGTGACAAGAACGATACCAGGGTATAAATATATACTATCCTTGATAGCAAACTTCGAACTCTTCTTATAAAGGTAGTATAGGCTGCTTATTAGTGTGATTAGACTCGATAGAGAGAGAGCATTATAGAAGAAGCTGGATAACTAGTCTTTAGATCGTGGTATCCTGCTAGAAAGATTAGCTCCTTATACACCTGTATAGAACGCTAACACTGAATAGTATAGGGGTATTATCTTCGCTATCGCGAGGGTATTAGCAGATACCTTAGACTTCTAATAGGATATATGGCTAGAGATTATTATAGTAGCCATTTACCTGTATAACCGCACTCTACGCAGGGATCTAGGCTAGTAGACGCCCGAGGGAGCGTTGAACGAGTGGCTGTAAAAGGAGGGTATCGTTAGCTTTATAGCTAGAACCACTAATCCCTCTATTAGCCACCTAAAGAGGTATGGTTCTAAGGCATACGCGTTGACTGCTACCTACCTGCGAGGTTGCCGTAAGAACGAAAAGCTCGCGCCGAGGGTATACGTCGGCTATTTAATCAGATACGAGGGCACTACTATTTTTCGGATTTCGGTTCCTTAATTAGGGGATAGTATCCTGCACACGAGGGACGTTATCTTTAACGAG